TGTGTGTGTTCACTGAGTGACTCTCTTTCTTTTCTCTCTCTGTAAAAGCTGCCAGGAAATCTGTCAGGTATAGTTTAACAGTCAGTGCTACTAGTCGCCTTCATATTCACACCCATGTTTCCTGTGCCCCCCTCCATGCCGCCCTTCATACCCTCCCCTCAGTGTGTGTGTGTGTGTGTGTTTGACTGTGAACCCATCTGTTCTGTTCTGCGTGTGCTCGAGTTAAAGCGTCCTGCTGGTTAAACTCGGCCCGCCTCTCTGTCTCTCTGCAGTGGTCGTCACTCTGGAGCCGTTGGTCGGAGCGGAGACGTACGTCAACGGGAAGCAGATCACCGAAGCTGTCGTCCTCAAACAAGGTGCCAACATTTAACACAGCGGCCTGCAGGTCTCGACTAGAAGCATCGAATTTAGTCAGAAGTTAAATGAACAAAGGTGTTAAATCTTCCTGTTGGTAGTAAAATGTCTCTGTATGTGACGGCGGGCTGTCAGGAGACGTTTCGCACTTCTAAACTAACATGTTTTTTTTCATACTTTAGGTATGATGGTGAAACAGGTGACCGTCACATTTTATTTAAAAACACTAAAAGTCCAGTGTGAACGTGAGGTAAAAGTTTAATATTTGAACAACCTGTTTGAATTCAAGTTTTACAGTCGATAAACTCAACAGAGCGTTAGAAGTAGTTTGCACGTCTGTGTGCAGCAGAGGACGCTCTTAAAACTCAGCCTGACCTCTGCAGCCCCATCAACCTAATCAGTAGCCAAAGCTAATCAATAGAAACAGAGGAGGACAGCACCGGTGTTGGGCAAGATACTCAGGAATCATTAGTCCTTCAAAGAGTAATAGGATTTCTTTTCTGGGTATTTAACTAGTTATGTTACTCGTTACGTCAGTTTTTTCTATGAGAAAACAGCCTGCTCAGCAGCTGTTTAGAAATGAATCTACTTCACTGGAACAATAAATAACCTGAGGAGTCAACAACCAGCCAAACTGAAAACACAGCAGCCTCTCAGGCCAGAGAATGCTGCACTGCAGCGGTCGGCAGCAGGCGGCCAGACTGCTTTGATAGCAGAAAAAAAATAAATAAATGATAGTGGCTGGTGCTGAAATAGATCTCAGTCATGACAGCAACAAAGTTTTTTTGCAGCAATGCTTCATGTTGAGTTTACTGAGAGCTTTTACTTTGAAAAGTTCTGAAGGACATTCAGAAGAGTTTCTGGCTTGACACACCTCTGAAAAAGCCGTCAGTAAACGTGCGATTGGATTCCCCTGAATGTCCTCAGGGAAATGAAAATAAGCGTCCAGAGGTTTATGAATGCGGATCAAACGCTGGGAGGCGCTCACACACACACACACTGCAGCACATGCTTTATTGTGAGCATGTGCAAAAGTGTCCCTATAATATATTTGTTTAACGAGGCAGGGCAAAAAAAGTCTGCAGTATTTTGGGACCCAGCAAGAGACCCACACTCTGGCGCCTGAGCTAAACGTGCACAGGAGAATCCAAGGGTTTTCAAATAATTTGGCGCGTGGCTTGAAATTTTTTTTGCCCGATGCTAAACTTATTTGCCGACCCCTGCACACGCCTCTCTCTTGTTCTCTGTTATTCGTTTAGCTTTTTGGCTCGCAGCTGACTTTAACCATCCCTGACCTGCTGCACAGTCACACATACGTGTTTGGAAAGTTATCCCTGACGTTACTAGTTAAACTAGTTAAATTATTATTACAGTAACGTGTTCACAAAGCTGTGCTGAGAAGCAGAGTGTGGAAGGATTTTGGGTTCTACGCTGTAGGTTATTTGACAGACTGTCTCTGTACAACCACAGTGAATCTGTTTTTAGTCTCCATCAGCTCCTCAGGGAAACAACTGTCTCTCTAGCTGCTGAACGCTCCACTGTGTTCACCAGCTGGTCTCTGTGTCACAGCAGAGACGCTGACACACTGTTCCTTTGTCATGTTCGTAGTATACTGCACTAAAAAAACTCATTTATAGAGCGCTTGTTGTTTGATATTTGGGTCTAAATGCTTTTACTACGACCCACTCGGACGTGTTTTGTGCGTTATAAATAAGGCCGTACTTACCTCCTCACAGGGAACCGCATCGTGATGGGGAAGAACCACGTGTTCCGGTTTAACCACCCGGAGCAGGCGCGGCTGGAGAGAGAGCGCAGCGTCACGGCCGAGCAGCAGGAGGAGCCGGAGGACTGGAACTACGCTCAGAAGGAGCTGCTGGAGAAGCAGGGCATCGACATCAAACTGGAGATGGAGAAGAGGTAGAGATGGGACCCGTCCAAAGACCATTAATCAATAATAACTGACCATATTCCTCAACGTGAGGGTCTCTCTGTTTTACATCATAATACACTGGACGTTTTGGAGATTTGGAGACGTCACCCTGTTATTTGATACTTTCTCACATTCGCTAAGTTTCTGTGTGATTGAGGCCTGATTGGTAGATGGATGTGTCGGTTAATTGATCGATCGGTCGGTGTGTGTCGCAGACTGCAGGACATGGAGATTCAGTACCGGAAAGAGAAGGAGGAGGCTGATCTGCTGCTGGAGCAACACAGACTGGTATGTTTCTGTTAGTTTGATTTGCAGCAGCGTATCTGGTAGCTAACCGTTCATTGATCGTGTGTGTGTGTGTGTGTGTGTGTGTGCGTGCGCGCTCAGTATGCAGACAGTGACAGCGGTGACGACTCGGACAAACGCTCCTGTGAGGAGAGCTGGAGGCTGATCTCCTCCCTGAGAGAGAAACTACCTGCCAACAAGGTAAGTCTGTGTCTGGGCTTTAAAAAATCTGCTAAGTATTATGTTGCATCCAGTGAGTTACGCTGTGAGCCACAACTTCCTCCTCGTTCTTTTAGCTCTTTGTAAATCGTCTCTATTAAAGGCAGCTGAATTATCCGCTCCCATTGGCTCTGGGGTTGTTTTCTTTTCTTCTTCTCTATAATTCCCTGTTAATTATTTGCTTAATACAAAGCATTTATTCTCCCCGTTTCCCAATTCGGATCTATGGACATCTTTTTTATGTCTCTGTCTCGCCTGTCTCCAGGTGCAGTCTATAGTGAAGCGCTGCGGTCTGCCCAGCAGTGGGAAGAGGAGGGAGCCCCTCAGAGTCTATCAGATCCCTCAGAGGAGGAGGATCAGCAAAGACCCCAAACGGGTCACCATGGAGGACCTCCGCATGCAGGCCGTCAAAGAGATCTGCTACGAGGTCCACACACTCTCACACACACACACACACACACACTCGGTGTCTGCAGCAGTTTAACAGGAAAAGTTCAACATTTTGGGAAAAGCTTTCAGAGAGCGAGACGTTCAGATTGGTGTCAGTCTGATCAGTCAGTGTGTTGAGTACACAGCTGGAGTGAGGACCAGATTAGCCTAGCTTAGCATAAAGACTGTAAACAAAGGGAAACTGCTAGCCTGGCTCGGTCAAGAGTTCAAACACCTCTGAAGCTCACAAATTATCAAGCTCTTTGTTTCATCTGCACTTTTAAATGTGAAAATGACAAGTTTTCATCAATAAGCAAATTAGTATAATTTCCAAAATGTTGAACTAATGTTTTGTAATGTATTTATTTGTGATGGGATCATTTTAAGCAATGTACATTTTATAAACATCCCATTATCACCGTGTCAACATTTGTTTAAGATAAAGTGTTTGTGCCTCTGTGAGTTTGGTTCAGCATCAGTGAGAGTAAACACTTCTCTGTCAGAGCAGCTCTACATTATCACAGAGTTCAAAAACACTAACTTCTGTTCTTTTGAGTAATTGTGGGCTCTTGGGCACAAGAAAGGGGTTTTGTGTTAAAGACAGTAGCAACAATTAGTGAGTCTTCATTGTTATTTGTTAAGTGAACAAGAAATTACTTATTTTCTGTCTCAGGAGAAGCAGAAACAGAAAAGACAATTTTATATTTTTTAAAAGGCTTGATTTCCCCTGTAAACCCAGCGTTGGTGTTTATAAATGTGTCCCCTGTGTGTGTGGCGCCCCCTTCAGGTGGCTCTGGGAGACTTCCGTCACTCCCGTCAGGAGATCGAAGCTCTGTCCATCGTCAAGATGAAGGAGCTCTGCCGTATGTACTCCAAGAAAGACACCAACGAGAGGGAGAGCTGGAGGGCCGTGGCCCAGGACGTCTGCGACACCGTGGGCATCGGAGAGGAGAGGAGCCCCCCCACAGAGGAGGGAGGAGGAGGAGGGGGAGGGGGAGGAGGAGGAGAGACGGGGAGGGTGGACAGAAGAAAACATGTATGACCTGAAGGCTCACATCGATAAACTGACCGATATTTTGGAGGTGAGTTTTCTGGTTAATGTTAACGAGTCGCAGAATAAAAGTATGTTGCTGAAGGAACATTTAGCTTCAAGCGAAGAACGTAAACCATCTGAACCTCATTTCATCACAGTCCAAACCGACAGACTCCTGATAAAATAAACGTCTCTGACTCTTCCAGGAGGTGAAGCTGCAGAACAACATGAAGGACGAGGAGATCAAAGCTCTGAGAGACAGAATGATCAAGATGGAGAGCATCATACCTGTGCAGGTGCGTTCACACATCACGCCCTGGTCAGCTGATCATCAGTCCTCCAGTAACCGCCGTCTGAGTCCTCTCTGATCTCCTCTCGTTTCCAGGACGATGATGTGAACGGCGAAGAGGGCGAGTCACCTCAGAGGGACGGGGACGGGGACGCCCCCCACAAGCCGGAGGTCAGAGTGAAGCAGCTGATGGACGAGGACCCGGCGTTCAGGAGGGGACGCCTCCGCTGGCTGAAACAGGAGCAGCAGCGAATCCTGAACCTGCAGCAGCAGAACATCACCAAGAAACTGCGGGGACAAAACCAAACCCAGGGTCAGTGGGTTCAGGTGTCACATGAAGCCAACGCTGAACGTTCACAGATAAAATGTTTGTTAGGAATAACGTGTTTCCCCGGGGATTTTCTTCAGGGGGGGAGTAACAGCCGAAACTGTGAAATGTGTTGCCTAGATACGAGAGAAACGTCATCAGACGTCTGCAGGGAGTGGATACCTGTTGCTGAGCTGCTTGTCTCTCAAATCACGACGAGTAATGTTTGGAAGACATGTAGCTGAAGTTTTCCTCATGTATGATAGGACAGAAGCGGACAAGCGGGCTAATAAGGTTGATGTGTTACTAATAAACAGCGGGCATCGTGGAAATCCCAAAACCCAAACCATCACGGGGGGGTTGGTAGAAACTACTAGTGTCGCAGAGCGGGTTACGGATACGTGGCGTCATCACAGCACAAAGTTGCGTTGCGTGTTTAGCTTCGTCACCTTCAGCGTTTTTACCGCTAAAGTTACGAGTTAGTTTGCACTCAGATGTTGGACGACCAGACCGTGGATAGGGCCAAATAATGAAATCTGTTATTTTATTTTTGCCATATTCCATTAAATTATTTCTGAAATTCTGTGTTTTCCGTAAAATTTTTCTCAAATCTTTATTTTACAAACAATCAAAAAGACAATATTACAATTTGAATCCCTATCAGTGAATTTGATGTATCATGCAAATATGCATTTAGAAATATTCAAATGTATGTTCACAATGAATGTGTCTTCAACAGAAGGATGTTAAAATACTATACTATATACTAATACTATATCGCAGCGCTCCTCCTTGTTTACAAAACTGACCTAAATATAAAATTTTTCAGAACAGAATATCTGACTCTGCCCACACAGCCACGAAAGCTACAATGAGTTCGCTTCTTGCATCTGCTGATGTGGTTGCACTTCAGAGACTTTGTTAAAACAAAACGTCTCTGGTTGAAGAGATGAGCTCTTTCTAGTGCGCCGCCTTCGATATGACTACGTGTCTGTGTGTGGAGGAGATGCCAAGCCCCGCCCTCGCTGAAACGCTTATAATGCTGGAAATCCTGTTTTATAAATTGCATCAACATTTTAGCAGATTCCACGATTCAGTCCACCTAATTATATATTTTTTTGTCATTCCTTTGGTAGGGGAAACGCTGAATGAGGTGGTCATGGCGAGCTGATGTGTAGCAGGAAGTGTTTTTGTTGATATGACTGACGTCCTCTGTCTCCCCCCTCCTGCAGGTCCGAACTCCCCCGTTGTCCCCGTTCATCTCCCTGGAACCGGCCGCTTCATCCCTCCACAGGAATGCAAGCTCAAGTTCCCCTTTAAGAGTAACCCCGCCCACAGGTTGTCATGGGGACCAGCCAGTGCCGCCCTGCAGGCTCTGGGTCTGGGGGAGGGAGGAGGAGGAGGGGATGGGGGAGAGCAGAGGGAGGAAGGAGGAGGAGGAGTGGAGGGTAAAAGCTCTCCCTCACCTCCTCCTCTCCTTCAGGGTCCATCTCCTGGTCTCTTGCCCCTCCCCTTTGTGCCCCCGCCCCCTCGCATGCGCACCCCCAGCCCTCATCGCGCCTGGCAACAGCGCAACCAAGGCAACCAGGGTAACCAGGGCAGCTTCTTCTACCACCACCACCAGGGCAACAACCAAAACCAGCAGCGCCGCTACCGCCGCAACTCTCTGGACAGCTCCACCCACGGCAGCAGCAACTACGAAAACGACCAGCATCACGGCGGCGGTGGTCACCAGGGGCGACCGAGACAGAGGAGGGGGGTGTCGCCCGGGCCAGGAGGGGAGAGAGGAGGTGGGAGAGTAGGAGGAGGAGGGAGGGACAGAGACAGAGACGGAGGCTTTAATTACCATCAACACCAGCACCATCAGTACCATCACCATCCCTACTTCAACCCCCACAATGCACCATTCCAGCCAGGACCTCACCCCAACTACCACAGCCTGCCGCGCTCCGGGATCCCGCCCCCTCCGCCTGACATGCTGTTGCGGGTGGGACCGCCGCAGGGGGGGTGGGGCTTCACCACCCCCCCTCGGATGAGACGGCAGTTCAGCGCACCGGACCTCAAAAACAACAACAAGGAGACCCCCATCTGACCTCGGACCCCAGGGAGGTCTCTGATTGGCTACGGGACACACGGCGGTCCTGATGCTGTAGAGTACCGTGTGTGTGTGTGTGTGTGTCATCCCGTCACACACCAACCAGCGTCACACACATCCTGTATCTTCAATCCTGCTGTGTGTGTGTGTGTGTGTGTGTGTGTGTGTGTAGCGCCTAGCCTTTACGTTAGCATGGGTTAGCTGTTTTAGGAAAAGTGGATTCTTTTAGCTAGTTTTTTTTTTTTTAGCTGGTTGTCAAACAGGATGGAAGTTTATTACTTAATGATTTAGTTTTATTGATTTCATTGATTGCTGATATTCTTGTCTCGGTCATTTATAACGAGGTGCCTTAAAGCCGAAGTGTTAGCCCCGCCCACGCGGCTAGCTACTGTTAGCAGAAGTCTCCTGTTGAAGCTGTTTTTTACTTAAAGATGGAGTATGTTGGTTTGTTTATCCTGAGCAGGATGGATGTTTGTTTTTAAACGGACTCTCTTTTAGCCGCTGTTAGCCCAGGAGGCTAACTAGCCCGGTTCAGCCTGAGAGGTCTGTGTTAGCTTGGGCTAGTCAGATAGCCTGAGCAGGGAGCAATGAGTGGTTATTTAGCTTTCCAGGCTAATACGTTGCACAAGGCCCAAGTTTAGCACAGGTGAAAGTATTAGCTTAGCCTAGCCTAGCTTGACCAAGGCAGCATTCATGTTGCATGGGAAGTGCGTAACACGCTGAACTCAGGTTAACCAATTTGATAGATAATTATCTTTAATTAGAAGCAGTTTTATAGTAACAGACATATTTGGGTGTTTCCGTGTTACACCAGTGGAGCTTGACCACGCCCCTTTCACCTGTAATAAGCAGTGATTGGCTGCAGAATGAGAGTGCCGATGAGGGACTCTAGAAGCTCGTAGTTCCCGTCTCTCCCATGCGACTTGAATGCTGCGTCGCTGAGTGCTACAAACCAAAGAGCGCTGCTCGGTGGCGCCTCCTGCAGGAGAGCAGAGAGCTGACGGCCATACTGCTGTACAAACAGACAGACAGGTGATCGGTGAAGAAACGCCTACGGCAAACGTTATTCCTTGAAACTTAGTAGACGCTATTTAAAAATTACTAGTACTTATTTATTAGTCACGAGTAACTATTTTTTAGTTACTAGTAAATAACTGCACATTTATTTTGCCGTTGAAATCTATGGAGCTTGTGAATAAAACAGAGGGAGGGATGTTTTGAAATGTTTTTTTGTTTTGTTATGAAAACAGGAACACTGGGCTGCTGATCAAATCATCAGTGCTGTGGGCGGGACATTGAGCATTGTTTGTTTGTTTTAAGTCATCTTTATTGCAGAAATGGGGTTACAATTCAGATGTGACTTACAAAGATAAACATAACAATGCACAAATACAGATAAATGATATAAAGATTGCCAGGGGAAGCTTAAAGGCTGTTACAAAGAGAGAGAGGACCATATGTTGACAGTTTTAATTGCCTTTTTGTTGTTGGAGCCAGAAATCAAATTAATATAAAGCACAACTTCATGGAGAAAAAGTACAAAATTAGATTTTGTACTGCTGAATTTACATTCATGAATGTGGTATTTTGCCAACAGAATTACTAAATTTATAATGAAGCACATATTTTCTTCACTTTGACTTCTATAAAAGCAAAATACCACATTGTCCCACAATGAGGTAAAGTCTTTATAAATAGGGTCAATGATGAATCTGCTGAAGCAGAGTGGTGATTACCTACAGACAGAGACCAAAGCAGCGCATTTTTTAAATAAGTGTAACCCTAATGTGATCCGTTGCATCATACTGAAGTAGCACTGATCACTGTTGAAGGGGGATAAATTTTGTCACACTGGGGATAAAAATAATTCAGCAGAGGCAGGGATATAAAGACCAGAAAGGGGGAAATCCCACGCATCCCCCTGGCAAATCTCACCCTGGTTACTAGTATTAATGGTATCCTTTGTACTAGTAATAATTTATTCGATACTAGTACTTTATTTTTATTTACTTGAAACTTTTACAATAGTTAATAACTATTTTGTTGTTTCTAGTGAATTGCTAATTGTAAAATGGAAATAGTTACTAACTATTCAATTAGTTACTAGTAACTGTTTGAATAGTTGATATCTGGACTGCAGAGCCAAATAGATTTCAATGGCTAAAAAATTGAAATTAGTTACTAGTAACTAAAAAATAAGTACTAGTACTTTTGAAGTGTTAAGGAATACACGTTGAAACGTCTTGCCATAGACCGTCTGATTCAGAGGAAGGTTTGAGGAGAGGAAGACGAGGAGGTGTTGTGGTGTTGGGACAGACCCGCATGTTGAATCTTTTTAAAGCGTTGTGTGTGTATATTTGAAGTGTAAACTGACTTAATTTTTCTTGACGTTTTTTATGAAGATGAATCTATTTTAAAAAACAGGCTGCGACGTGTGAAACATGCTCGCTGTCTCTGGCAATCGTGGGAAATAGTAGTAAGTGATAACGGGCATGTGATGCTTAGTGGGAGATGTAGGAATACTGACTTATTTAACTGACATGGGAGATATAGGAATCATGATGGATTGTAGTGTAAGTAGGGTAAGCAAGGAACTCTGGGAAATGTAGTATGAGACATGTTGGGGGGGAGAGAAGGTTGAAGAGAGAAATCTGAGATACAATAAGCTTTGTGTTTGAAGTACAGACACTACGACATGTTCTGTGTGACGTTAAAAGGATCTGACACTACTTAATATTTATGTTCACGCACGTGACAAGAAGAGACGAGGAATAAACTGCTGCCTTCATGAGACATCGGGAAGTTGGAAATTGTGGCTCTTTTTCCTATTTGAGTCTATTAAAGTCACTTTAAAGGGCAATTTTTTTCTTACTTACTTGTGAGGAAAAGGGCCAAAGGGATTTTAAACAGTTTTTAATGCTGCAACAATTAATTTCAATTAATTAGTCATTTAGTTTAGAAATGTCAAAGAAAAGAGAAAATGCTCCTGACAGTTTCTCTAGGCCATCATCTTCAGATGGTTTGTTTTGAGTCAAAACCCCAAAAGATTTCTAGTTTAAAACGATAACTTGATAAATGACTCGACAGATTAATCATGAAAGTCCTTGCTGATTGGTTTTTTCCGTCTGGTTCTCAAATGGGTTTTGGTTATTGTGTTCACTGCACCTCTGGAAGAACGGACGCTGAAACAACAACCATCCTGCCGCCAATTTCCAACTTCCCTCGTCAAACTGAACGCGGCGTCAGCTTAGTCCGTGTTGGAGCAGCCATGTTTACTGTCAGGAGGAGCTGGGAGTTGGCGGCACTGCCTAAAACTCCCGCCCCCCGCAGAGCAAGGCATTGTGGGAGATGACTAGTGGAGCGTCCGTGTGTGCTCCCTGACTGTAAGACCTTTTCACAAAAGGTCAGAACCAACCAATAGGAGCGCTCCTTCCGGCTGCACAGCCAGGTGGAGGGAGTCGCCACGATGATGATGATGATGACGATGACAAAAACACAAGAATTGATTGTGATTGGCCCCGAGAAGCATGACATCAGCAGGATTTTACTTCCGCCTTGTTTTGCTCTGCTGCCTCTGGAATCGACCAATCACAGGACAATCTTGATAACCTGCTGCCACCGCCAGGCTTGATGGGAAACAACGTTTCCTTTTTATATATATATTTTTTTCCAGTTTGGGCCTCTGATTGGCTGTTTCCTTTCTTAGTGTATTCATTTGCTTCTTCTATTTTAACCCCGCCTACATGTTCGACCTTTGCTTTGTGATGTCACCACGTCACCATTATTAATATAATTATTATAAAGTGTCAATAATATTGGGTTCTTTTTGGATGCTGCTAAAGGGAGCTTCTTCGCCCTCGTGCAACTGCCTGAGTGTGTCCGTGTGTGTGTTCGAGTACGTTGGACGTCAGAGTGTGTGTTTGTGTGTTTCTGTTAATTTAGACTCATAATCTAAAGTTTGTTTTACTTCATAAAGCTGATTTTATTGTTTTTCTTCTAATCGTCTGTTTAGTTTTGTTGTTTTGGAGGTTTGAGGAGGAGGAGGGCCCTCACTCACTGGCCCCGCCCATTCCCTCCGCCACCAATCACCACTCACCTCAGAATCTGACAGCGTGATGTCACTTCAGGACTCATAGACATTGGACATGATGACATCGAGGTCTAGCCCTCCTCCTCAGCTGTTTCTGTGTCTGCGTTGGGTTGTTGTGTCTGTTGTTTTCGTTGTATCAGGAACCAATCTCAGGCTCTACCTGCAGACAACATGATGGCAATAAACTGTCAGTGAGGATGAAAAACCTGAACACGACTGTCATACGTTACTGACTCGATGCACTGAAAATTATGAAAACATATTCTTCACTTAAAACGCGCCACAAATACAGGAAACGTCTTCATGAGCTCACACAGGGCAGGGAAACTCAGATACAGAAGAGTTGCTCAGTGAAGCAGCTGTCTGTTGCTCTTTATTGAAGGTGGGGAAGTTAAAGGATCAGTATGGTGTCTTTAAACCTGGGCACTATTATCATATATTTTGGGTCAAAATGAGGTACAGAAAGTTTAGAATTTCAGACACAAACTGGCAGCAACGTATTCCTTCAGAGCAATCGGCCAGTCAAAAGAGAGGCGAGTTGTTGCAGGGAGACGAAACGAGGGAGAGGAGTTTGTTGTGTACGTAGAGGAGCTGCTGGTAAGACTTAATTTCCCAACGTTACTCCAACACAACAATCTCCTCTCTTAAAATCTGACTCACGCTTCCACTGTCATCCTCCTGCAACAACTCGCCTCAACATTAAGTTATTTAGTGGATGCTTTTATCCAAAGTGACTTACATTTGAGGAACAACCTACAAGCGTCAACAAAGCATCAGTACAGTAAGATCTACAAATGACAATGGATAATATTAAGAGTTAATAGGACGTACAAGAGCTTCTTGAAGTTAGAGTTGATGTTACGTGATGTTGTCGGACACCTGGTTTAACTTTCTGAGCCTGTCGGAGGCAAAAGGAAGCACTTTTTGTGGACGTCATGTTGAAGGGCACAATTGCCCCGAAGGAATACGTTGCAGCCTCTGCAGCCGGTTTGTGGCATCGACTGAAACCATCTTCTGCACGGATTCAAAACACCAAAACAAACAACTGGTCTTCTCTCTTGTAAAATAGAAAGAAACTCACTGCGACTACAGCTGCTGAAAGCTGCAGTGTCAGCTCTCAGCAAGAGCAGCAGTTTCAAATATTTTACTCCCCACATCAACACACATCTACTGAACCGTGACTACTACTTTTGTCTGTGTGACACATTCAGTTTGTGCTACGGATGTCAAACCACATGATGCTGTGTGCAGCTAACTCACGGGCAAATACTATTTACAAATACATTTTTAGTTGCCAGAATCAAACTGGCTCAAGACAGGATGGGAGCTATTTGCCAGGAAACTCATCGCTTTATTCCTCCGCCTTTATGTGAGGAGTTGAGTCAAGGGCTTTTGGGGTTTGCCAACTATTTCACTCACCACTGACACAATGCTAGAAAGGTTATTCTTAGATCCACAGTTTAGGTGACCGTGCCAGGCAGGAAGGTTTGAACACTAGTTATGAAATAAGACTTGCTTTATGTGACACAAGCTGCACACCGAAAGATCTGCATGATGGTAACCATTCAGCTAATACATATAACATTAGTTTCTACCTATCTGCATATTACAAACGTCCATAAAGCAACAAACAGCTGCTTGTAACTGCAGAACCTGCCGAAGAAGAAATTACATTTAGCTGACACTTTTATCCAAAGTGACTTACAATTGCTAAATAAATCAGAGGTCACACGCCTCTGGAGCAACGAGGGGTTAAGTGTCTTGCTCAGGGGACACAATGTGTCACAGTGGGGAATTGAACCCGGGTCACTCACACCAAAGGCATCTGTTTTCTGTACACCCATAGGGACACTGCTAACTAATTATTTTTTTTTAAATATGCTAGAGTGTCGGTTAATATTAAATAAATTGTTTCATTCAGAAACATTTATTAATTGTGATCCATCTTTAATCGCAGCACAACTGGCGTCTTCAGCCAAATGCAAAGATAACTCAGAGCGGCTCGAGTTTACTAATTAAGATGTCTCACACAGGAAACGTTCAGTCAGCAGACGCTGAGCCTCAACAGAAACATGACAGCAGCAGCAGTAAAGAACATCATTCAGTGTCGGCAGCTCTGCTGTCGGTGTAACAGTGTTTCTGAACATCATAATCTACTTTGTCTTTTTGTGTTTAAAAACTGCAGGAAAACCAACTGTCAAATAAAAGATAACTTAAAAACACGAGGAAGCTGCTGAGAACAAAAACATGCTGAGAGACAGCAGCAGCTGTCAGATATCAACAGACCAAGAGCTGAATTCAGAGTCTTATCAAACTTCCTGCTTCAGCAGCTGTCAGTCAAAATATAAACCACACACACTCCGTCTCTAGTGCCTCAGTTTCTCCTCTCAGACAAGAGACAGACAGTCTTTCAGGAGCTGAGGGTCTATTTCAGGATGCAGCTCGTACTCGTCTTTTTCGTCCTCCTGTCCCACGTTACCAAGGTTACAGCGGTGGCCGGTTGCCACAGCGACAGAGACAAGGACCACCGGCCGAGAGAGAACTGCACGAGTGCCGGCTTCAGCGACGTCCCGGCGGGATTTGAGCTCAACACCAAGGTAACACCACGAACCAGCTGACAGCTGCTGACAGAAATGAAACAACTAACAACTAACAGTATGTATGTGTGTGTATGTATATATACATATATATATATATATATATACAGTGGGTACGGAAAGTATTCAGACCCCTTTAAATTTTTCACTCTTTGTTTCATTGCAGCCATTTTCCAAAAATCAAAAAAGTTCATTTTATTTCTCAGTAATGTACACTCAGCACCCCATCTTGACAGAAAAAAACAGAAATGTAGAAATTTTTGCAAATTTATTAAAAAAGAAAAACTGAAATATCACATGGTCATAAGTATTCAGACCCTTTGCCGTGACACTCATATTTAACTCAGGTGCTGTCTATTTCTTCTGATCATCCTTGAGATGGTTCTACACCTTCATTTGAGTCCAGCTGTGTTTGATTATACTGATTGGACTTGATTAGGAAAGCCACACACCTGTCTATATAAGACCTTACAGCTCACAGTGCATGTCAGAGCAAATGAGAATCATGAGGTCAAAGGAACTGCCTGAAGAGCTCAGAGACAGAATTGTGGCAAGGCACAGATCTGGCCAAGGTTACAAAAAAATTTCTGCTGCACTTAAGTTCCTAAGAGCACAGTGGCCTCCATAATCCTCAAATGGAAGACGTTTGGGACGACCAGAACCCTTCCTAGAGCTGGCCGTCCGGCCAAACTGAGCTATCGGGGGAGAAGAGCCTTGGTGAGAGAGGTAAAGAAGAACCCAAAGGTCACTGTGGCTGAGCTCCAGAGATGCAGTCGGGAGATGGGAGAAAGTTGTAGTAAGTCAACCATCACTGCAGCAATCCACCAGTTGAGGCTTTATGGCAGAGTGGCCCGACGGAAGCCTCTCCTCAGTGCAAGACACATGAAAGCCCGCATGGAGTTTGCTAAAAAACACCTGAAGGACTCCAAGATGGTGATAAATAAGATCCTCTGGTCTGATGAGACCAAGATAGAACTTTTTGGCCTTAATTCTAAGCGGTATGTGTGGAGAAAACCAGGCACTGCTCATCACCTGTCCAATACAGTCTCAACAGTGAAGCATGGTGGTGGCAACATCATGCTGTGGGGGTGTTTTTCAGCTGCAGGGACAGGACGACTGGTTGCAATCGAGGGAAAGATGAATGCGGCCAAGTACAGGGATATCCTGGACAAAACCTTTTCCAGAGTGCTCTGGACCTCAGACCGGGCCGAAGGTTTACCTTCCAACAAGACAATGACCCTAAGCACACCGCTAAAATAACGAAGGAGTGGCTTCACAACAACTCCGTGGCTGTTCTTGAATGGCCCAGCCAGAGCCCTGACTTAAACCCAATTGAGCATCTCTGGAGAGACCTGAAAATGGCTGTCCACCAACGTTTACCATCCAACCTGACAGAACTGGAGAGGATCTGTAAGGAGGAATGGCAGAGGATACCCAAATCCAGATGTGAAAAACTTGTTGCATCTTTCCCAAAACGACTCATGGCTGTATTAGATCAAAAGGGTGCTTCTACTAAATACTGAGCAAAGGGTCTGAATACTTATGACCATGTGATATTTCAGTTTTCTTTTTTAATAAATTTGCAAAAATTTCTACATTTCAGTTTTTTTCTGTCAAGATGGGGTGCTGAGTGTACATTACTGAGAAATAAAATGAACTTTTTTGATTTTTGGAAAATGGCTGCGATGAAACAAAGAGTGAAAAATTTAAAGGGGTCTGAATACTTTCCATACCCACTGTATATATGTGTGTATGTATGTACTGTAAATATATGATCTGCAGGCTTTAAAAAGAAATGTAATGCTCTTTAAGCTCCTCAAAAATAAAGCATGTTATGCATTAGATTAAACACAAACCCTTCACACATCATGAACAATCTTAACAAATACTTGGAGCTTTCAATTACAATTTGTTTGTAAACATTAACTTCTACAGAGCACTAAGCAATACAGTATTACTGACCAGACCTAATACACAGATTTAACGGCAGGACTGTCAGAACCACCTGAACACAGACAAGCTCGTGACACGAGTTATACTCCACTATAAGGCTCCTAATCCAGGACTGAACACAGCACACAGATCGTTTTCTGAAAAACCATAACATCTAAACAGATAAAGCCGGCCACACTGTTGATATAGTCTCTGTTCAACCTTTTTTTTATTATAAATGTCAGTGGGATTTTAAATGAGCTGTTCTTATTTCTGGAACAGAAACCAGAAGTTCTGGTTTTCTTCTGACTAAACTTGTTTTCTGGGACGTGCAGAGTTTTAAAAATGAATACAGCAGCTCTAGTTTACTGCCAAGATCAGATTACGACTCTTTTCTCATTTCTAAACGTGTTGAAGATCTGACTGTCACAATGTTTTCTGTGCGAAGCAGTGCACGATTTTTATTTGGCTTCACAATGATCCAATAACCATGTCCAGGTAAATATTCCTGTATTGCCATAAATACTTTGACCCCTAAATGACATTTTCACTTAGGGGTGTACTCACTTTTGTTGCCAGCGGTTTAGACATTAATGGCTGTGTGATGTGTTATTTTGAGGGGACAGCAAATTTACACTGTTATACAAGCTGCACACGTTGTAGCAAAGTGTCATTTTTTCAGTGTTGTCACATGAAAAGATATAATCAAATATTTACATGTGAGGTGTACTCACTTATGTGAGATACTGCACATGGTTTTCACACCACCTACAGACGCTACAAACAGGTTTTATACTAACTGTTGTGTGTGAGGTCCGAACTTGACCCTGAATGGATGAAGTGTTTGAGTGACAGGAGGAGACCACAACGGATACACGAGTTTCCTGTTTTACACCGATAAAATGACAGTTAGACAGGAAACCCTGACAGCTTTAAATGTTTTTCTTCCTCTACTCTCTTTCTGTTTTAGGTTCTGTTATTTCCCAGCAACCAGTTCTCCGGTTTGTCCTGGTCCTCCTTCCAGATCTTTAGAGAGATCTATGAGATCGACCTCACCGGCAACAAGGTGCTATTACTAAAGCTAAAGCTTATAATGTGACGATAAATACTGGACCAGAAATCAGTGATCAACTCTACGTTCACTCAGAATTAAAAATGTTTCATGACTTTCTGTGAGTCCAGGTTCCTGAGGTGACCTCCAGCGTGTCTCCGATCCTGCCCAGCCTCAGCGTTCTCCGACTGGGTTCCAACCGTCTGAAAGCCCTCTCTGACGGCTCCTTCTCCGCCTGTCCAGGTCTGACTGAACTCTACCTGGAGAACAACGCCATCCACTCTCTGAGCGATCACACCTTCTCTGGACTCAGCAAGCTGGAGGTCAGCGTGGTAACATGATTGTAGCCCTGTTAGCGAGGACAGATGTGTCCGAACAAAGCATGTTAGGAGGGTTGGATGCACATTAGGTTTCTAAAGGAACTGAGCTTAGTGTGAAGGTTACATGTTAGAAGTTACTAAGTAGATAGTGAAGGTTTATAGTTGTGTACGTTCCGGTGTTCAGAGGTTTGGACGCATGAATGATCTGAGTTCTTAGTTTTCTTATCCAGGAACACTTGATTCCTCTCTGGTTCCCTTCTGACCAGTAGTCCTACCTTCTAGATCCTGGACTTGTCATCCAATCATATCAAGGTGCTTCCTGAGCTCATGCTCCACCCCCTTCCTGCCATAGAGACCCTCTACCTGGAGTACAACAAGGTGGGCAACACACAAAGCTTTGAAATTATTTCATTAAGTCAGATGAAAGGCTGTTTAAAGACTCACATAACTATGTTTTCATTGGTGTATGAAGACCTTACATTATGAACCGTTATGTTTTTATTACCTTTGAATGAGCCATTTCTATCTACATACACTGCGGGTCCTCTTACATGGACGTCACCATGTTTCAACAGTAGCCCAAACTGCTTTACAGAGTGTGTTTCATCACTACGTTGACTACGTGCGAAGAAAAAGAAGAAGGGATTGTAGTAGTAGTTGTCGTTGTCTGGTTTGTTAGAACTAAGAAGAAAAGTAAAATTTGGACAGAGGACCACTTATCATTTAGCATAACAGCCAACAGAGCGCATCGACCACCGAAGCTTCTCCTGCCCGCTTGGAAAGGGAGGGGTGAGCGGTCACTGATGGTGCTTTCATGTAATGTCGGAATAATCAGATCCCACCCCCCCCTCCTTTAATCTTTATTGCAAAAAGAGGAATAAAAGTGTACATTGGACTTAAACAAGTGTAGAGAACAGTGTACAAATATATAAGAAGAAGCTCTAAAACTTTACCTGGCGTAGTCTATATTATATAAAGATATTAAAAGAGGACCATGTGTTGACAGTTTTCAGTCTTTTTGTTGTTGGATTCTTTGTAGTAGCGTCCATGTTGATTCCACATCCACAAATAGGGCCATCCATGCAGCGCGTGAATGAACCATGAACCGTTGGTTGCAACTTGCAACCCTCACCACTAGATGTCACTAAAACTTTAAACAATAATTTTACAGCTTCTCGGCAGTGGTAGAAGCTCGCAGCAGCTGTTCATATTTGCACCTGTAGGAGGCGGAGGTTGTTGAGTGTGAAACTACAGGACATTTCCGTTTCCGTTTCAGATCAAGGTGATGCCAGACGATTGGTTCAGCCAGAAGAAGGAGGTGCCGTACCTCTACCTCTCATCCAATGACTGGGTCTGCACCTGTTCCCTTGGTTACTTGCGTGAATACCTTGACGAGTACGAACTCAACGTCTACGTCCGGGATGGCACGATCATCAGGAGCGACGCAGAGAGTGTGGTGAGTACCACAAACAGAAAAAGAAGCAACAGCAACAAACAGGAAGTAAAGACAGAGGCCACAAAATGTGAGAATGTGATTTTATTTAGTATGAACGGTTTGTGTCGGTTTAATCCAAGTAAAGGATTTCAGCTACAGTATTGTGGGGTCTTGTAAGCGTGAGATCGACAGCCCCTTCAGCAGTAATTTGGAAGCTGTACTTGTGGTGAAGAAGGAGCTGAGTCTGAGGGTGTAGCTCAGTTTACCAGTCGCTCCACGCTCCAACCCGGATCCTCCTTCTAAATCTCATTGTGAGCTTTAAGTAATAGCCAAAAAAAGATCAAGGATCCAAATCGCAGAAGAGTTCCCTACGTAGGGTAGCTGGGTTTACTCTTTTAGAGACAGGGTATGAAGCTCAAACATCTGGAATGACCTCAGAGGAGCGTACACAGTGAAAGAAATTTACAAAAACAACGGCAGTCTGGAAACTGGTCGTATGATTTGTAAAATGGTCAAGAGGAAAGGAAAGAATAAAACTTGCATGTCTGATTTTTGATCAGCCCAAAAGGACTCATGTCACTCCATTACTCAGCGACTCCCACTCGCTCCCCGTGGCCTCCCAAATCAAATTCATGTCACTACTGCTGACATACAGAGTGACTACTGGGTCCATACCAAGCATGAACCAAAAGTGCAAACATGCTCTGTTTGGGACTGTGAGCTAAACTCTATTTGAAGTGCTAAAGTTAACATTTGTGTGGATTTGTGGTGAGGTCACTTATTTTTGGTTTCCATCTGCTTGTCTGATCCTAACACACAGTCAGCAGACAATCTGCAGAGCAATAACTCCCAGTACAGTAGTGGAAATATCCACTTGTCCTCTTGTGACTCGGTTTTCCTTATTTTGATTCATTGTATCTTATAATGCTGTATCTAAACCTGTCTTGAGTGAAGTTAAAAACATAGGTTGCTTTTTGTAAGATCAATAGATGTTGATGTGTAGCACGTTTTACTTTTAATATGTACTTTTAAAGCCTTGTACTTATTTACTTTTACTTGAGTAGCATTTCAGTGTGGTATCTGTGCTTTTACTTAATTAAGTACTTTTCCCCTCTGAGTCTTTTCTTAGAGCCTGTGTCCACCAAAGCGTTTTTCTCTGAGGCCAGCGTCTTCTTTCAATTCATTGTAAATGGAGCGCCACATTTTTACAGCACGGTAAAAACACCAGCAGCTTGACTTGGCGCTGAGCGTCTATTCCGCGCTGGCCATTTTTTTCCGGTTGCAGAGAGTTTAAAAATGTTCAACTTTGGTCAAAACGCAGTGCTCGTCACTGTTACTTTTTACCCAGCCGTCCAATCACAGTGCTGGAGGGGCAAGATAAACACCACACCGAGCCATCTCAGCTCTTGAGCGAAACGATGTACCTCCTCACCGAGTTATTACGGCGAGTCCGTCCCCTCGCTCTACATGTTTCAGCCTTCTCTTCATGCAGAGCAAGCAGGCCTGCCCTGCTTTGTGGTGACATTTTTACATTCAGTAAAATTAGGTAGCCTACTTGCAACACATGTATCACAGCAACCAAAGCATCTGAGCCGGGGGAAAAAACGCTGCGCTCCCAGCTAGGCTTTTTCAGAAGAGCAGCTGGTGTTTTCAGCTGGTAAAAAATGCTTTGGTGGAGACAGGCCCTTAGAGATTAGAGAGATGGCAACTTACAAATTAGGTCAGAAAGTGTTTGTAATACAGTTCTGTGAAAAAGTTTTTGGCAGATGATGTTCTGAAGGCAAAGGGTGATTGCACCAAATTCATTTGATTTGATCTAGATTACTCTGCTGTTCACTCACTTTATATTTTTTTAAGTAATAAATAATATCTGTTTTTGAAAGCATTCTTACTTTACAGCATTTTCCCACTCCTGCCTGAAACTAGCACAGTACTGTACGTCACTGATTGCTGCTTTGATCCATATTTAAGGGATTTATCTGTTACCTTTCTTCTCAGGTGTGTGACTCTCCACCGTCGCATAAAGGTAAACCTGTAATCACTCTGGAAGAATCAGATTTATGTCCATCTGGTCCAATCGGAGACTTCGAGCCAATGCCAATTACCAGCACATTTTACGAGACAACTGCTGCTGCTGCTGTTCCTACTATCCCAGCTACTATCACTAGTTCTCCTCCTCCTACCACTTCTACTTATCCGATTCCAGCTACTGAAGTTGCCAGTACAATCGGTTCCACAGCGTTCGAAAGAGAACTCTACACTGAGTACTACAGAGTAGTCACATGGTCCTGGTACCAAACCTTCACCCATCTCATTGAATGGTCAGATCATTCAGGGTTGCACATTTCGGCTACTCGTCCTACTTTTCCTACAGTCAAACCCTCACCTGAAAGTCCTGCTATCATGACAACCGCCACACCAACCAAACCTGTTGAGACAACCAAATCTGTTCCTTCAACCGAAGCTTTTGCAACACGGAAACACCGGGTAACCAGAACAACCACCACTACTAAGGCAACCACTGGGGCAACCGCTGAGGCAACCACTGGGGCAAACGCTGTGGCAACCGCTGGGGCAACCGCTGTGACAACCGCTGGGGCAACCGCTGTGGCAACCGCTGGGGCAACCGCTGAGGTAACCGCAGGGTCAACCGCTGAGGCAACCGCTGAGGCAACCGCTGGGGCAACTGCTGAGGCAACCACTCAGGCAACCACCACGTCGATCCCTTCACGTGGTAAAATGATTGCTGTCAGAGGTGCAGGCGTTTTCTGTTGTTGGCTTTTCGCAGGGTGCCTGCTGCTGTGCATGGCGTCAGCAGCATGTATATTGGCGACGCTGGCGAGGATGGTCGTCTGGTACAGGAAGGTGTACAAGCCGCTGAGTTTGTTGCTGGCGAGGAGGGGAGGAAGTCATGAGGGAGTGAAGCTGTTAACATCCGGGGGGAGGGAAGAAAGGGAGGTGGCGGGAGGAGGCGTGATGGCGCTGTATCGCTCTGTTCTGTTCATCCACAGAGAGGGAGACGCTATGGAGAGGGAAGATGGAGATGAGGGACATGAGGAAGGAGGAGAAGGAGGGAAAGAAAAACTCCTTGTCACTCTGGAGCCGACAGGAGGAGGAGCGACGAGAGAGGAAGAAGGAGAAAGAGGAAGGAGGGAGGAGAGAGGAGTGTACAGGAAGACATTGTTCCGTCTGTTGAGCAAAGAGGAGGAGATCGAGGGATGGAAGGAGGTGATGGAGGAGTGTCGGGTCTCTGCAGAAGATGCAGAGAGGAGGGGAGGAGGGAGGGATGAAGGCATGGATAGAGAGAGGAGTGGAGGAGGAGGAGTGTCCAAAAAGCGCTACAGTGTAATTCTGAGGGAGGAGAGGGGGGAAGCAAGGGGAGGGAGAGAGGAGCTGGACTGGGTGGTAGGGGGGTGGGAGGTGAAAGGAGGAGCAGGGGAGGGTAGGGAGGAGCCCAGGAGCAGCTGGGGGGAGTGGCTGGCACACTACTTACCCAGCATGCCCTGGGGAGTGACCACACCTCCTGAGGACGAGGCAGCTCAGTGATGTCATTAGTCATTAGGAAGACAATTGGCCCAATGGATACGGAAGTCATAACATCATTTCCTGTCTAGCCCTTGTTCCTCTGGCTTCTGTAACTCATTAACCAATTAATCTCTCATTCACATTTAATTAATCTAAATAATTAATCTGTCTTTCCCAAAAAAATTAAGCGTGTCCCTGGATTTTCGGGATTCTGTGAAAAGTGAGCCTCTTTATAAGTCGTTATCTCTGTTTTTAATAACGTTAACCGATAAATCAGAAATGTTTCAATTTTAAAACTTGACCAGGAAGTCCCTTGTGATTGAAATCTCTTTTCTGAGGAAGACCTGGCCTGGACAGAAAAGCTGTTTAAACAGAAATAATAACCCAACAGCGGAAATACAGACATTGGACTCACAAGGAAGACAATAAATGCAGCTCAAAGAAGGCGGTTGCATTTCTAAATTGGGGGACTAGATTATTAAGATGTAGTTATGTTCTGTAGTTTCCTCCACATCCACGGAGTAAAGAAGGGAAAAAGCTTTTTCCACCAGCTCAGTTCAAACCCTTGGAACCTGGAAAGAAAGCTACCCGTTGGAACAACACATTCTCACCCCAGACTCGTCACATATGGACCCATGGTCAAGATCCCTTGGCGTCGCTTTTTAACGCCGTTTGTAGCCTTTCAGATAGAGATATTTCAAAACGTCGGAATTTGTTTGGGTTTAGGCAACAAAAGTACTTGGCCAGATTTAGAAAAAGATCACAGTTTCGGTTAAAATATCTACGCTAGTTATATGACTTAACTAACGTGAGTTTTAAGCAACATTACTTCCGTAACCTACGCAACTTACGTAACATTCAATGTTGACTTTTTGTTACACACGGTAAACGAACACCTGTTACCTGTGTGGACCTCCGGTTTCTAACCCACCTGTCCACCCCAGCCACCTCCTTACTCAGACTTTTTTGTTACCCCACACCTACCTTTAGCGTTCATAAATGATGCTACAGGGTTTCCCCCAGTGCGTTGCTTTGACGCTAAGGGAGTCACAAACTGACGTCTTGACCATGCGTCCATACGTGACGCCTTGGGAGTTTCAAAGTGTTGGGTGTAACAAAGCTGAAGACTGCTGTAGGTCTTCGTCGGGACATTACATATATATACAGCATGGCCTTGTACACAAACATTTGTCTAGATACACTTAATGATGTTTGTCATCCAACCAACTGCCTAAATACTTTTCATTTACGGAGTGGAGATTGAATGATATGTTTAGATCGAGACAGTAGTGTTTTGAAAAACTGTCCAATATATGTTTTTGTTTTATGACACAAACACAGTATCCACTGTTGTTTTAATAACTCTTATAATAAAATGTATGTGATATTCAAATGTGTCTTGCTGTTTGTGCCACATTTCCATCTGGAATATTGTAACAGATACCAAAGTTTGATCCCCACAAACCAGAACACACCGTGTCATTTCTGAAATGAAATGAAAATGAAACATTGAGATGATCTGGATCAGGAATAGCGTTCGTGTGTTGCTGCTGATGAGAATGTTTAGACCTACAGGCCTGCCCACAATGTTTCTCTAGTGTGGATGTTTCTATGCTTCTTGTAAACATTTGAGTGAGTGAATCTCTTCCCACACTCCTCACAGCTGTATGGCTTCAGTCCAGTGTGGATCCTTTCATGCACGTTGCGGTCTGTGGCAGAAATGAACGCTTTCTCACAGTGTCTGCAGTTGTACGGTTTCTCTCCAGTGTGGATACGTTGGTGGGCTCTTAAGTTTTCTAGTCGAGTGAAGGTCTTTCCACACTGGCCACAGTAGTGCGATTTCTCTCCAGTGTGAATGATTTGGTGTTTCCTTAGGTGACTTGACCAAGAGAAAGCTTTACCACACTTCTCACAGGTGAAGGGTTTCTCTCCACTGTGGGTCTGCTGGTGGATTCTATAGTTTGTTAATGATGAAAAAGCTTTCCCACATTGCTCACAGTTGTATGGTTTCTCTCCAGTGTGAACTCTCTGGTGACACTTTAGATCTCCTGGTGTCGTGAACGCTTTGTCACACTGCTGACAGCGGTGAGGCTTCTCTTCTGTATGATATCTTCGACGATGCATGTGCAGTCGTCCTGATGATATGAATCTGTTGCCACACTCCTCACATTTGAACGGTTTCTCTCCAGTGTGCAGTCTCAGATGAATTCTTAGCTCTCCTCCTGTTTTGAATGCTTTCTCACACTGGTCACAGCTGTACGGCCGCGCTACAGTGTGAGTGCGCTGGTGTTGTCTTAGGTATTTGACAGTAGAGAAAGCTTTCTCACACTGGTCACAACTGTACGGTTTCTCTCCAGAGTGAAATCTCTGATGAATCTTTAATCGATGTGATGTAGGGAATTCTTTCTCACACTGTTGACAGTGGTGAGATTTGGGCGGTTTTGTGGCTCTCTGCAGTGACAGACAAAGATACACAGAGAAAGAGAGCATATTGTAAGTGAGGTGCAGCGGTGGACAGAAGATAAAACGTTGACATCACCTCTGGTTTCAATAATGAAATAGTGTTACCTGCGTAGAGAAACTAATGGGTTAGCCAAAGACAACAAGGCTAGCTGGAGTTCCCACTAGATATAGCAGGACATTATCCCTCACTGGCTTCCCACCTGACAATAGTGTCTGTTGGTGATAGCATAGTATAACAGTGCTGTCACTGCAGTCATGAGCCACAAGGACACTTTAAAGGTTTTAAGTGTACAAACCCATGTTTGTGTGAGTCATTAAAGTAGTACACAGGATTAAAATGCTTATATAGAGCTGAAGTCATGACGTCACTTTCTGTCTGGCCTCTGTTCCATCAGCATCTTTAATTCAATACAATTTCTCAATCTGCATTTCTTTCATCAGTCTTTCTGGAGAAAATTAAAGTTTACCTTCTATATTATCAGACAAATTCGCTCCACTATAGCAGTTGCTATTAGAAACACAATCTTACATCATATTACATCGCACTCTTCTGAAGTCACCTTTCCAGTTTTTAGTTTTAATCTCTGCGGTTTACATACTTCGTGACATGCCTTGCTGCCACTGGCACGGACAAAGGCAGACTGCAGCGTATCATTTGCAGAGAAAATGATTGGCTGCAATCTTCCATCTCTCCAGGACCTGTACGCCTCCAGGAAAGATTGTGGCCAACCCCTCCCACCCCAGACACTAACTGATTCAGACACTCCCCTCCTGCAGGAGGCTGCGGCCCATCAGTATAACACATCACCACCACCACTATTTTATTTTTATTTTTTTACAGTACACTCCGGTAAAATTTTAGACAACATATCTCATAATTAAGTGCACACAGTCTTTATTCTTCTTCTATAATTTGTATATTTTGTCCATTTCAGAGAAAACGAAAAGAGGAAAAGAAAGACCAAATCATAATGTTGATATCTGTAGTAAAGAGTATTATCATGAAATGAGAAAATAAATTGGTAGTAATACAAATAATTTTAAAGCAATTTAAGTAGAAGTGATTTAACCTTTTGTGGAGAACTCATGCTTCTTCTTCCTTTGACAGCCGCCCTGAAGTCGTCGATGTTCCTCTCCTCCTCGGCAGAAGTGTCTCCTCACACCGCTGAGCTGTGAACGGAGGTGTGAGGAGACAGGAAACAGGAAATCCTGTCTGAATGCAGCTTTATGTTGGAGCCAGTACGGTATTAACAGATTCTAATGCGAGGCAGAGCCACTAAGCTGTTAACTCTATTGCATTTGTTCAGATGCAGAACACAACGAGTGAATGACAGGAAGTGAAAGTCAGAGCAGCTGCTGGAGCAGAAACCAACTGAAGTTCAGAGTTGAGTCATTTCCTCAACGAGAAGACAGCATCATCCTCAAAACTCACTTACTAGCCCTTTAACACTAATAGTTTTTAATGAACTGCTCTTTAAAATCTTTGTTTTGATAACAATCCTGCATCCAAACCCCCCCCCCCCAACTAATAATAATAATACTATACTACTTTAAAGTCATGTCCTCTGTGTTTTCTGTATTTTAAGGCTCATTCCAGTACGTTAAAACATGTTTTAACATGAATTGTTTTACTTTGAATAATATTTTGTATCTGATATAAATATCATTTTCTGCTGGACAACAGGTGTTTCCTGAGTCCATTCTCAGTGTGTGTGTCATAAATATTACTTGTAGGCCCACCCCTGACAATGGGTGATTTTCAAAAAGAATTGTACAAAATTATACATACAACACAATGTCTTTACATTAAAATATAGAAAATAATAATGTGTGTGTATATATATATATGTGTGTGTGTGTGTGTATATATAGACAATGCATATATTTTAAATAATCAAAAATTAAATGTGGTGTCCGAACGATAATGCTGCAATGATGTGTTGAGAAGAAATCCGCTTGACACTGTTCTTGATTATAAAAGTTTATTACATCAAAGAATTCAGCATCAATTACAAGCTCTGCAGCAGCTTGGAGAGTGACCCAGCCCAATAACCACTTTGTCTCTCTGTACATCGAACACAGCTTATATAGGACATGTTTAGGTCTCTGCTAAATACCATATAAGGGCACAGTGCTGTAGAATAAGTGTAACCATCTGTTAGACACCACAGAAGGGTACAGTCCCTTCATTCACACTAATCTCTTCATACACACTAATCTCTACTCCCCCTAACACTGGGTCAGAGGTCAAATTCCATAGGAGGGTTCACTCTTTGTACACCCATTAATCATTACTTCCCCATAAGGGTTCACTGTCCCTCTCTCCAGCTGCAGAGTATTATGTTAAACTGTAATGGTCAAATGCACATATGTTATACACCACATATTCCCCCCTACGAGACTTAATTGAGTCTCGAAAAACAAAAAGAGATAAATTTCTCCAACACATGCTTCTTGCAATATTATTTTTAACAACATACCAACTTTATGGAGTGTGAGAACGAAAAACCTGTCCGGCAGCCTTCATTCCAAATTCCCTCCAAGACAATCGAGACAGGAAAATTTTCTCACGGCCCCTCTACCTTAGGCGGCCACGCATGGTACTCCAGTCCAATTAATAAAAGACATCTTTATCAGTCAATGCAGAAATACGGTTTAGCCAATACATGTGAAAACCTCAGGAAATAAAACAAATCAAAACAATGTCCGAATTCAGGCTGGTCAACCCATCGGACCCTCCAACGGACCTTTCCCTGCCTAGACCCTATATCCCTAAGCATCAAGAAAAAGAAAAAACCTGAGGTCCCCAAATATTAACTCCCTAAGTGAAAGTACAAGTCTTTACACAGTTAACACAAAAAGAATATAATTGTTAATTAAGTATTATTCATTCACATATGTATTCATATCTATATCAAAGTAGACATAGGAAGGTATTTCACTGCAGCTCCTCAGCAGTGTCGATGCAATCCAGACGTTTCCACACCGTCCTTGTCCAGAGTCTATTCATATTGTCCTTGTTTGAGTATTTGAATCCCCATCTGTATATCCCCATATACTCTGGAAGAAAAAAAAAACACCAACCAGTATCTTGTTGCAAAATCACATGAAAATTAAAACCTCAATGTATGAAAATACAAAGTAACATTAAAATGGATATCTTTCCATCATTACTTCATCTGGTTCCCCTTCATCCTCTCCATCTGAATCAGCCATAGTTAACAAAGGCATCTGAGTGTTCTCCCCAGGCATTATCACTCCAACCCATCTCAATATCATAGCTTTCGCAAAGTCAATAGCACCGTACAAAAGCAAAACATCAAACACAGCGCTACAAAGCTGCTACCAAAATCTGAACCACCACACTGCTCCCACTGGTCCTAACTGATTTTGTAGCCAAGTATTTGCTGACCATCCAGCTCCCTCAGATTGACCAAACGCATCCCTTATACTCTTTAATGCATCTATACACTAGTGATATTATCAGAACTATCTGGGATCAAAGTATAACAACCGTCTCCCGTCAAGTTCATAGCCACACACAAACCTCCTTGTTTGGCTAAAATATAGTCGAGAGCCATGTCATGTTTCAACAATGTCAGTCTGTGACTTCTTTGAGTATTTGACAGAAGATTAAACCCTCGTATAGTTTCATTTGCAAATCCCTGCAAAGTATAAGTAATATTATCAATGTGATCTGCCAAAAATGTTACACCATACCATGGAAAAAGTCCAAGTCCCCACTTCTCACCCAAACTTATCCTCCAATGGTAGGCTTCAAGATTATGAAATTGTGCCATGCTCCTTTTCACCCTATTTCCGACCCCCAGATCAGAATGAGCTATAGCAGGTGTCTCCCCTTTATGGATTGTAAACACCTCATACGGAAGTTTTAGCGTCGCCATGTAACAACATCCTATCCATCCATAAGGTAAATATATATGCCTTATCACCACAAACCCACCAAATATCTTGAAAATTCCCTATCGTCACATTGCCAGGCAAAAGCTGATCTCTTACCATCAAAGTCCTTCCCTTCTTACTAGATGGCACAACAAAAGTTACTTCGTATGTGTTTCCTCTAACCTTACGGTCATGCTTATCCAAAGACATCATATACTCATCACACTCTGATATTCCCATAAACATCCCTGGCCCATCATACGTCTTATTTGAGCAAAAACAGCTACTAGCCCTCACAGGTCTTACCTCCATTGCTCAGGAATTGCTGTTAACATTATTTTCCTTCTGATCTAACAAATTCACATAG